GCCTTCGGTTTTAGTTCGCGTTTAGAGTTGTCGCCCGAGCCTGAACCATAAATACGACGTGACAGGTGGAGGGACCCAAATCTCGTTAGCGCCTGTTTCCTTCTCGTTTATTATTCCATCTTCCGTTCTGTCCTTTAATCCGCCGGTGATTCGTAGGAATTTCTCGATCGCGAGTCTCTCACACCGTCGAAGACGGAGCGCGTCGCGACATGCCGTGGACTGAATTCCGCAGCGCGTGTTATCGATCCGGCGGCTCTTAGGATTAACCGTCAGCGACTTGATCTCCATTTATCAGTCATTCAGTTTGTACAGAAGTAGCAATTATCGTACGGCCGTCGAGCGGCGCGACGGTACCGCTGCGAAAGGTAATCCTCGGCCGACGGACAGACTGACGGACAAATCAGCCTGTCATTTCCCGACGATATCCGTGCCGTAACCGCGCCTTATGACGTAGCCGGTGATGCGCCGTAACGAGAAAGTAACGATGACAAAGGCAGAGTGCATTCACACGCGTTGAGTGTTTCTCTGTACTGCAGGTAACTCGAGTGACTATCTCTCAACGAGAGTTATCTCGGCGCTTGAGCTTTCCGAGAGCTTATGCACCCCCGCACAAACGTTGTCTGTACCGAGTTGGTATCCCTCCTGTCAAAAAAGGGGGATAAAAGCGACATAGCGTCGCGCGAAGGAAGCGCGTTTAGCGGGGACGAGTTTGACGGCGCGCACGCAAAGTGTCTCGCGATTACACGCGCCAAAGTGACACGTGGAGCAGAAAGAGAATATATACGGGGTACCTTAAATGGAAATGCCCCGGGCTTGCCCCCAATCGTGATCTCACCGGATTTTGCGCCCCCCCCCTCTCTCTCTCTCTCTCTCTCTTGCTCGCTCGCTCGCACTCCCTTCTTCATTCTCCTCCGATCTCTCGCTTTCCCTCCTTCCGTTACTCTCTTCCACCTCGAAGACTTTGCATCTGCCGCTTGCTATCACATCGGTGGCTATCAAGCCGCGTAAACGTATCCGACGATCGAATATCGCGGAAGAAAGGTCGCAAGGTCGATACGCGGCACCGAGGAATTGGGTTGTCACCCTGTGCGTTATTTTTAACGTGTCCTTCGACACCCGCCGGAAGCTGACCCGCCGGTCGTCAATTGACGCGGAGCACGGTGTGCTCCTTGTTCGTCATCTTCAATATCTTCATCCTTTCGTTTCTTTCCGTCTTTGTGTTTTCTCGTAGACATGCACGAGGATTGAAACGCCGAAAATTTAAGTGTCGAGCGATAAGACCCAGAGAGAGAGAGAGAGAGAGAGAGAGAGAGAGAGAGAGAGAAACGCCGATACGCAAAAGGGAAATCCCCCAAACTTGTTCCTCGAGTATAATTACGTCGCGGGAATGTTCCTTCACGCGCAGCCATTTTCGCGGCGGAACTCGCGAGAGGTGGCGAATTAATTTCGCTCGCTCGCGGATCAGAATGAAGATCTGCGCTCCCGATCTTGTATGGCGAAGCGGGTTTACGTCTGGAGGTGAGACGTGCCGAGCATGTGGGTGACGACAATTTCCCGCCGAGGCGTAATCTCGATACTCGATATCTGGATTTCCGCCTGCAGCTTCGCGCAGCGAAGCTCACAGCGAACGTAGACGGTGTGAGACTTCCTGCGTAAGGATTTTCTCCGTCGAGTCGAGCTCTGCGAGAGCAACATCTTGCGAGATATCGCGCTCTCGTCGAGTCGCTCGCCGCATTTCTCGCGGCGATTTCGCGCGCGAACGCGAGATCGCTGTGGCGGAATTTCTGCCATCCGCGAAACCGGACGGCCGAGAGACAACCGCCTTTTTCGGTGCAACACCGCCGCGGGCAGCTTTCGCAGTCGCGAGCGACGAACGGCGCGACGAATCTACTCTTTAAACTCACAATGCGAGGAGCGCTCGAAGGCACCGAACGCGAGAGAGCAGTCGGGCATGCCTTTTGCGTGGCCACGCGCTGAATCTGTAATGTAGGAAATAAGCGTAGAAAGCGCGCCCGCGCGCGCGACGACGGATCGGGAAGCTGTCTCTCGCGCGACGCTTCGAGTGCGAGCCGCTTCTCTCAGAGCGAGAAAGTTCGAATTTATAAGTCTCTCACGCTTCGCGACACGCTTTCGTTCGAGTCAGATTTTTCTGCCGCGTTCCGCGGAAGAAGCTGCCACTCGGAAATTTGCGAATCTGCTTGGTGCACGCTACCGATCTTGGCTGAATCCAGGAGCACGCGGCGATCAGATTGACGAATTTTCCAGCAGTCGTAAAGCAGAGTAAGCTCGAGAAAGCTGTCTTGAACCGAGATGATGAAACTCTACTCCGCGATTTTCGACGGCCGCGATAACCGTTCGTCGACGTTTATTCCACGTTTGGGAAATAGTTAGCTTGGCTCGCAAGTGATCCTCGCTATTTTCCCCGTTCGTCGCGTGTTCGAGCCATGCGGGCTTTCCCCCGACTCGAGGGAGGAAGAAGAAGAAAGTCATGGAACGAACGCGCTATCTCGTTATGACTCGTTGTCAGCACGCTCGATTTCGACTTACGTCTTATTTGGAGCGATCAATGACGCGTGCATAAATAGATATCCGACATGCGTAAAATGTTGCGCGCGCGCGCGCGAATCTCTCAATCGCAGCTTCGTGTTACCGTCGGCGGAACGACACGTGGAGGATCGTCGGGGAACTTTCAAATGATCCGCACTCTCGTCTACGCCCACGACATTTAATACCACGTGCTCCGTTAAATCCGCCGTCGCTCGAGCACTATTTGTCTAAGCGAAACGCGCGCAGCGCAAATACGTAAACGAGGATCAAAGGGATCGAGCTGGCGGTGTCCGCGGCGGAATTATGAAAGTAATTTCGTATCGCTGTTTGCCCGACGCGAGCATCGAGCAGTCAGTCTCTCGTGTTCCCAGATAGCCCGGGCGTAAAAAGGCAAAGTAAAAGGAGAAAAAAAGAAAAACTCTCAGGTCGCTTCTCACGCGATACTCATGCGTGTAGGTCTCTCGCGTGACCGTGGACGCGTACCGGTGGGTACGCACATGCGTACGTTCGCCTGGACGAAGCCAATGGCCTGAACAGGTATGTGGGTGATGTCCGTTTTCTCGAGTATCGCATTTAGAAACGAAGACGGAAGACCAGTGGATTTATCTGTCGGTTACTCGGGAGAGCGTGAGAGAAAGGGAGAGAGAGACAGAGACAGAGACAGAGAGAGAGAGAGAGAGAGAGAGAGAGAGAGAGAGAGAGAGAAAGAGGAGGGGGGCAGAAAGGAAGGGAGATACTCGTCTCTTCGTTCTCTCCTGTTCTTCTTCCCCCCTCCTCTCATCGCGCGACGACTCTCCTCTCGCCCATCCTCGACTCGTTCTCGCTCTTCTTCGTGCTCCAGACACGATCCCGGTACTCCTCTCCTTCGGCTCTACGAGCGAGTCGTGCGACGCTCGAGCCTCCATAGTCCGGAGTCAGCGTGTCGAGCGTTTAATGAAACGTCGAACGGAATCGAATATTTCTCAAGTTACCGGCCGTCTGTTACTCCTCGCTCCTCGACAAGTGTATGCGGCGAGTATTCGCATGAATTAACCTTTGTTCGGACAGGTCGCGCGTCATTTTCTCCCGGCTTCTTCTCTTCCCCCAAATGGCTGCCGACCGCGACTCCGGAGATGCGCGGCCTTAGCCTTTGCGTTGATTACGCCACGTTAACGCAACGAATGCTTTGCTGAGTGATCGGGCTCAAGAGTCCGGTGTCGAGTTGACATGTTTGTTGCTGCTTGACCGCTTGCTCGAACGGGCGCGTATCGCGACCTGCTCGCAAGTGTCTTTAAGGAGACTGGAGGGTCAGATTGCTGAAAAATCGTGCTTATTTTTGACAATATTTTGCGATGAACTGAATAAATGTGCAAGAATGAAAATTTTAGCTATATTTATACAACATGTGAAGAGTAGAAAAATTTTGTTTACTAACAAATATAAATATACGATATATATACAGCTGAAATATGCTCCTCTTTTTTTTTCAAGTTGTCGTTTTTGCAGTAATATCTCGGCTCTCGGTGGTCCGATCAGAGCGAATTTTAGAAATCTTAAGGAGGCTTGTCATTATCCGGTGAAGCACTATAAAAAAAATTGAACAAAATTAACAAAATGGCAGCTATTATTAGGAAAAAATTCAAATTTTTCACTTCTTTTGCAATAAAAGAATTAATATCTCGAAATGAAATATTTTGACGGAGTTTTTGTCCATTTGTTCACCTGACAGCCAGATGAACAAATATTATTGCTTTAAAATTTCAGATCGATACGAAGCTCAGTTTCGGAGAAATCACTGCAAAAAGTTGAACAATAAAATTTCGAGAGAAACGCGTTTAAAATTTAAGTGGACGTATATTTATATGAATATTTGTTAATAAACAAAATTTTTCTACTCTTTATATGTTATATAAATATATCAAAAATGTTCATTCCTGCACATTTATTCAGTTCAAATATTATCACAAAATATTATCAAGAAACAAGCACGATTTTTCAATAACCCGATCCTCCAGTCCCCTTATTAGCCGATTTAAAAGGACAAAATTATTGTAAATCTATCAAAATCGCTCATCAATAGCGAGCGAGTTCCAATCAAACTTTCATCGTCCGAATCATACGACGAGCGCTCTAGCAAAATTCCTCGATTTTCCAGGTCGTTTCTCTCTCTCTCTCTCTCTCTCTCTATCTCTCATCACGGCTTTCCTTCAATTAAGTGATTATTTTTCAATAAATGCCGCACATGTCACGCGCGGCGATGCAAGCTGCATCGATTAATTATATTCCGCGCGGTAGCAGGAGTAAAAAAATGCTAATTGACGCGGACATTGTTCACGTACGGCACGTAAGAATCGCACGTGCCGCACATGTGCGCTGCACCTAATGGAAGGCATCCAAGGCTTGAGGAAGAGCTCGCAGGGTTCCATACGGCTCAGGAGCGCGTATATAAGAGACGGCTTTCCATATTTCGGAGTCATTATACGTTCTCTACCAACGGGACTGTCCTAGCTAAAAAGTCACCGTCATACTTGCGGTTCTGCTATTGTCATACGACGACGACGACAACGACGCTAATCCAAATGTGGATCCTCCCGAATATTCATCGATTTGTGCTGCTCTGTTCGCTGTGCATCTACCAATATTGTCTGCCCGCTGACTCGAAGAATGCCGCAGGTAAGCGTTATTTCACGATAAACGCGATATCTTAAATTCTTTTATAATATTTGATATTGGAAAGATGAGTGTGGACAGAAATAGTGATACGATTTTCCTACGGAGATATTGCTTCTGTCGTCTCAACGTGAGATCAGAGTTTTTTCATCTTACAAAGTCAAAGGGAGAGAAAGTATGTTTTTAGGAAACAGATGGATTTTGTACTTGCTACCTTGAGTAGAGCGCGCTTTCATATTTCTCGAAACAAAGGGGCGTAATTTGTATCATTGTTTTGAGCGAAACTCATCTCTCTTGTGATATACACGAAGATTCGCGTTTCCCTCGATCGCAATATTTTTCGGCGCGTATGTGTGACATTAATGCAAATAAGCGTAATCAGGCGGAATGGTGACACCGCGCGGCTGAATTATAAATCAGTCGTCGTTTATGCGTTTATCCGACGAGCCTCGACAGACGCGTTCTTTCGGCGGAAGCAGCCAAATTGTGTTTCTGCACTGATAAGTGTATCTCCCGGACGCTCCATCCTCGATGGTCCTCATTAAATTTCGTTACGTGTCGTACACATATTCGCCCACGCGTGCAACACGATGCTATCACCGATGTGTGCGATCCGTTCTGTACGTATCTTCCAGATCCGGCGGGACTCGTAGATCAGGCATGGGGGATACGTTTTCGGGGTTCAGGTTTAAGTCGACTTTCGGAAAACGATTTCCGACAGCACTCCCAAGGCAAACGAATCGTCCATCTGGGCCCGGGAACTCTGACCAAACAGGTACAGGTTATCGCGTAAGGTCGTCGGGAAATCCGACGGCTGGAGAGAGATTGGAAAATGTCGCGAGAAAGCCAGTCTAATAAATCCGACACTTTACGTGGCGGACGTAATTTAATGAGCGTAATAACGCTGCGCTTCTTCTAGAAAACGTATCAAGCTTGCGTCGCACCCGGCAATCGGAGCGGTCATTGCAAACACCTGAGCGGATGCGTCCTTGATGAGTTCCGCTCGAACTTTGAACGATTCGTGAATTACATGTGCATAATTGAGCAGACGTGAGCCAAACAATGTAACTCGTGCGTCAATCTTCGCGATATTAATGTGCTTTTTATCGCAGGTATATCGGCGTGTGTTGCCCGGACGGCGTAGTGACGGCTCGAGCGGACAAAACCTTCGAGGACGATTTGGCCAGCATGCTGCCGGCGATAGCGAGTCCGTAAAATTCTCTAATACTCTCTAATCACGTGCGAATTACATGCGAATAAAATCAGCGGAATTAGCGATTCCCGTGCGGAACGTGCGATCGATCGGTCGATCGATCGATCGCGATAACGCGGCGAGTGATTCAAAATCTATCTTTTTCAATGACAGACGCGCTGTCGTGCGATTGTTGACAATTGTGACAGATCGATTTTTCGCCATCTGACACGCACTTATCAGTCAACCCTGAAGAGGCGTACGCATACGCGCGCTTTTTCGACAAGCATACGCGGGCGCGGAGTATGCTAAGTAGCTTCGTGTTTGCCACGTACCTGGAATTCCTCGCTTCTCTCAGGCGTCGACGACGACAAGCAAGAGTGGAACGGAACCGAGAGCGGGGACGGGAACGGGAACGGGAACGGGCCAGCTGACGATGACAAGGTCTCGGGTAGTACAGAGGAGGAGACGCGAAAAGCGCGGAGGCCCAGAGGATGCGGCACGACCACGAAGATGAAGACCAGAATCGTGGGTGGCCAGCCGGCTGACCCGAAAGAATGGCCGTGGATGGCCGCTCTGCTCAGGCAAGGCACGGTTCAGTACTGCGGGGGTGTGCTGATAACAGATAGACACGTGCTGACGGCCGCGCATTGCGTCTACAGGTGAGCTGTTTCTCCGCGACCGCATTGACGTTGAGCCTCTCGGCGTCCGTGACGTCAGAGCCGAGGAAATACGTGCTAAACATTCCTATTCGGATTGCGTCGAAAGTGAAAAGACGTATTCGTGCAACGACTCTCTCGCCATCGATTGAGCGCCATCGATTATTCGTCAGGCGCTTCCCTTTCGTCGAAGCGATCGATGAACAGGCGGGAAATCGTCGCGGCGGAATCACGAGAGAGGGTAGGTTGCGCATCGTGTTAATTTTACGATTTATTACTGATTGCCCGAGGTAAACGGAAAATTTCCGGAGCGCACTCAAATATGCGCTCGATCGATCGCAAGTGTCATTCTCCGGATGTCTTTTTTTTATTTCGACGTAATCCGACGTGATAAAAGAATCTTCGCGTTTCTGACGTGACATTGTTCGAGATGGCTGTCGCGAGAGAACGGGTGCCTTGATTGGGAATTTCAACGTCGATTTCAAAGTGCTGAACAAAATGTGTCTGTTTGCATTGGTTTCCGCTCCATGCATCGCGGATTTGTCTCCGATTTTTCCCAGTCCGCTTTTTTTTTGCCGGACAAAGGCAAGCTGAAGCTATTGACCTTCCTTTTCAGCGGATCAACAGTTTCAGCTTGTCCCTTTGCCTGAAAAAACAAGCCGAAATATTGAAAAAATATCGGAAATAAGCCACAATGGGCCCATAAACCAAACGAAGCTCTCTCTCTCTCTCTCTCTCTCTCTCTCTCTCTCTCTCTCTCTCTCTCTCTCTCTCTCTCTCTCTCTCCTCTGCATCGCAAAAATCCTAAAATATCGAATGGCGTCCAATTCTCGCTGGTCCGACGCGGTCAGTCGCGTCGCAGTCGTTCGGAAGCGTCTAACTTTGAGATTTTAACGGCTCGCGCGGAAGAGCACGTTCACACATTCCTGCGGTCGTATCGGACTTTATAACGTTTTCGGCCGGTGCCTTCGTACCGCCGCGCCGCCCGCGAGAGAGTCTAACACGCGACAAACAGGCGCGGCCCGTTTGTCGCAACCACGAAATTACAGTTACACGACGAGTCGACCTACAGTTATCTCGCGTTCTCGCATCAGGTACAAACCGCGCGACATCGTGGTGCGGCTCGGCGAGTACGACTTCACCCGGCCCGACGAGACGCGAGCGTTGGACTTTACGGTGACGGAGATACGGGTACACCGGGATTTCGTGTATACCACTTACGAGAATGACATCGCCATCATCAAGATCCATCGGCCCACCACGTTCAACAGCTACATCTGGCCGGTCTGCCTGCCGCCGATTCAACAGACGTTCGAGAACAAGAACGCCGTGATTACCGGTCTCGCGATTTTCCTTCCATTCTTATGTCTCGCGCGCTCACCTGTAAACGACGAATGCAAAAAGGATGAAGCGCGAGGGAAAAAAGTGGGAAAGGTGGGATCTCCATTGAAATGGTCTCCTCTGTCACATCCGCAGGCTGGGGCACGCAGTATTACGGAGGACCCGCCAGTACCGTGCTGATGGAAGCCGCGGTGCCCGTGTGGCCTCAGGAACGATGCGTCCGCAGCTTCACTCAACAGATTCTGAACACCACGATATGCGCGGGCGCTTACGAGGGAGGTCGCGACGCCTGCCAGGTGAGAGACCGACGGTCCGTTTACCGTGGTGTGCGAACGCGCGGTCAATAATCCTGAATAAAAGCTCGCTCTCGGGAGCGAGAAGAATCCAAGATAATCTTTCAAATGGAAGGAGAGATGATAGTTGAGATAAAAGAAAAATCCCGCGAAACCCGATCTCGAACCCATTCTCGAATAAAAGTCCGCTCTCTCAGGCGAGAATAATCTGCGATAATCTTTCAGACAAAAAAGATACGAATGATAACATTGAAGGTGAACAAATCGATACGATTCAAGACGCGCAGAGCGAATGCACGTCGGGCCTCTCTCGCGCCTTCATGTTACTAAGCCTCTCTCTCTCTCTCTCTCTCTCTCTCTCTCTCTCTCTCTCTCTCTCTCTCTCTCTCTCTCTTTCCTTTCCAGGGAGACTCGGGCGGACCATTGCTACATCAGCTCGGTAACGGCAGGTGGGTCAACATCGGGATAGTATCCTGGGGAATTCGCTGCGGTGAGCCTGGATATCCAGGGATCTACACTCGTGTGAGCTCTTACCTCGACTGGATATTCGCAAACGCTGTATTTTGAACGTCGCTCACCACGTCCCACAGCGCTGCTCCTCCAGTGTGCTCCTCCAAAGATTTTTCTACGTTTATACGCGCCTCAGGAGCTTTCTGTGCAGCCGCGCGCGTCCGGCGGGACGGCTCTTCCGGGCCGTCAACGACACAGGTGGACACACAGCGCGGACACACAGGGGGAAAAAAGTCAGGAGGCAGCGAGGGCGTTGCGAGTCGTCGCCGTGAATCGTTGCGTGCGACGATGTTGAAAACGACTAAACTTTATTTCTTCCTCGGAATATATATGTATATGTATATGTGTATTGATTGGTACATCATTAAAAGAGAGAGAGATTGACACAGACAGAAGTTCACTGTGCACGGTGCGTGTCGCATCCGGCGTACGCGCGTGTGCCACCGCGGTGTGTGTGTGTGTGTGTGTGTGTGTGTGTGTGTGCTCGCAGCACTTTTACAACAGCGCGGGGCAACCGCGGGAAACAATCGGCCACTTGCACCCGCCCGGATGGGGTTCGCGCCCATCCGCGCGACATTTGTATGTACGCAACCGCCGCACACCGCACCGTCACCGCACACATGCGTGTGGCCGCTCTCCCGCTGCGTACGTAAGTGCGTACTTGCACACGCCCTGTTGCGTGCACGGGGGCTCTCACGCGTGATATATTCTTTCCCAGACACGTCGCGTGGACTCGCTTTGTGAGAGGCCCAGCCTCCGTTCGCTACGAGTGGCTTTAAACATCGACGTTACTACGGTAACCTTCCTCTTCGCAGCCATGTACATATGGAACGATCCGCGTCAACCGGATCACCTCTCTCTGTCCAAAATTTGGTGCAACGCACACAGGGACGTGTGACGGCTCAAAGAATTTGTCTGCACGAGTACTTTCAGAAGACATGTGACACCCGGTTTGAAAGATCAAGATGGCTGCGCCAATATGGCGCCCGAAAATGCGAAAAACCGCATGAATTTCCAGATATCTTCACGTTATCAGCTGAGTAATCAACGAATCAGCCTCGAATCTTTCGTGAGAGCCGACACCCGACTGGGGATATTCGATACCGTTGTCGACACGAATCCGGAGTCAGATTTTCGAAATTTGATATGGCAGATGCAATATGGCGCCTAAGACGTCATTAGTTGCGTAATCAACGAATCAGTCTCGAATCGTCATTCTGGAGGTACTCGATGACGCTGATCACGAAACTGTGAAGTCAGATTCTCGAAATTCAATATGGCACCTGAGAGTCCAGAAAGCCGCGTAAATTCCTAGATATTCCTACGGGATGGTGAAGAGGAGGATGATGAAGAAAATGGTAAAGACAATGAGGATTGAGATGAAGAGAATAGTGAGGATCGGGATAATGGAAGAATTGATGGGAGCGATGAAGATGAGACTGATGATGACGACGAAGATTACAGTGACGATGACGATGACGATGATTTAAATGGATATCAGGGAGAAAGTGGGGATGAAGTAGGGGGAGGATGGTGGGAATGATAAGGATGCAGATGAGAAGAATGAGAATAACGATGAGAATGAGGAATATTAACATGCAGCTACTCATCAGCTGAAAAAAGAGTGTCAAAGACGGGCAATCTGCTTAAAAATACTCACGTATACTCATCATAATTTTTCGCTGTATACACTGTGCGGGCTTGAGAGTGCAAGAAACGGACATAAAAATGAAGGAACGGGTAGAAAACGGGCCAGAAAAACGAGCAATATGAAGATAAAAACGGTGAAATATTTTGTAAGAGTCCGCACTCTTAGGCGTCATATTGGATCTGCCATATCGAATCTCGAAAATCTAGCTCTAGATTCGCGATCAGAGGTATCGAATACCCCCCCCCCCCCAGAGTGTCGATTCGAGGCTAATTTGTTGATTATTCAGCTACGTAACGTGGAGACATCTGGAAATTCATGCGGTTTCTCGCATTTTCGGGCGCCGTATTGACGCAGCCATCTTGATTTTTCAAACGAGCCACATGTCTTTTGAAAGTATGGACAAACTTTTTGAGCCGTCACACGTCCCTGTGTGCGTTGCACCAAATTTTAGACAGAAAGGTGCTCGCCGATTAACGCGGATCGTCCCATATATATCATATATATATATATATATATCATATATATATATATATATCATATATATATATATATATATATAATCTATCTTCTCGTAAACATATACATATATACCTGTGTGTATACATATATATCTCTGCTTTTTGTTGTTGTTGTTGCCTCCCTTTTGTATATTCATATATAACACCTTATGTGTATAGGTACGTAGCTCCGTGTCGCGCGAGCATGCGCGGATCGCGAACGATAATATTTGTCACGTTTGGGGACATGCAACGAGAAACACTGTGACCGACTTAGCAGCTTGCGACGTATACTCGCGATTCGCGATCGCAGGCGAGATTGGGAAGAAGAGGACGGCGGACAAGAGCGGGGATATTTTGGCGCAGGAAAGACGCTGCGGAAGTATCGCTGTACGCCTCGTTTCTCTCATGGATGACTTCGCCAACGTCGGATGAACTCTGGACCTCATACCGGCGTATCATTTCCTCTTTCTCCGAGTGAGCTCGCGATACGATGCGATACTGAGGCAGGAGGGAAGGTATCGTTCGGCCGGTCGCGATTCAGCAGATTTCGCGGCACGAACGGACCGTTTATGCTCCGCCGGCAACGAGAAAGAGGGAGAAGGCGAAGATAGATCCGCCTACGTTCGCGAGCGAATTTCGATCGAATCGGCGCGTGACGTTTACAACGGAGACAGGTATCGATAACACGTAAAACTTGCCGGAAAGCGAAGCCCCTTACATATTACATGCCGCTGTAAATTAGTATTGCGGGGACGAGCGGGACGATCGCTTCGGTTCGAATAAATAAAACGCGCGAGAGTGCATACGCAACTGTATATAATACTGTGTCCATATACAAGAGACGATAAGTACCCTCGGCTAAAGCACGTCGTCAGTCGTATACAGAGAGAGAGAGAGAGAGAGAGAGAGGGACAGGCAAGGAGAAAGGAAGAAAAAAGGGAGAGAGAGAGAGAGAGAGGCAAGTGACCAACGAGGTCTGCTTCGCCGACAATCGAGCGAAGGATATCAAAGGGAAACGAACGGAGCGATTGCAGGAAAGGGTAAATTTTCGCACGATCACCGCCGGCGACAGGGCAGGGGGCGGGGGGAGAGCGAAAGGGGAAATAAAGAGGTGGAAACGCGAGAGCTCGTACGGCGGTGCAGTTCTAAATTGTCCTAAATTATCCTAATCGTTACATCGGTAGACATTGGTTCCATAATACCTTGTAGGAAGAGATCACTTTCAGCAAACTTGTGGTCGGTCCTCGGGCTCCCCGAGGTCGCGCCTCGCCAGCTAACAGCTATCACTAACGAATACTGTTTCAGTATGACGTGCACTTGTCAGTCGGAGCTTATCGCGCGTTATCGTGAGAACGTACCTTTTCACCGGCCGATCGACGTGAGACGTCCTATTTCAACGAAGGGAACTGCCTAGACAGCGACGGAGAGACAGAGAGAGAGAGAGAGAGAGAGAGAGGGAGAGAGACGATCGGTTCGTAAGCTGAAGCGAACGTCCGAGTGAAGAAACGTCAGTGAAGGGGGAGGGGTCGCAAATCGAACGTACGAGGCTGTCGCGGTCTGCCGATAAGCTCGCCGACGGGCTCGCGGCTTGGGCGAGCGTTTGTCTAAAAGTCTCAACAAGCTTCGATCGTCGACCGACGAGTCCCTCATTCCCGTGCCGATGTTCTCGAGCGGCGAATCCAAGTGGTCACCGTCGTCGAAGTCGAAGTCGCGTCCCTCGGCGACTGGCAAGGCGCGCTCGGTTGGCCGAGCGGTCGGACGCATTGAGAGAGCTAAACCCTGGGCACCGCGCCCGCGGGCAGAAGGAGCGGCGCGTTGGAGCCGCTCTCAGTGTGATTGGGCATACTCTCGGCCTCTAGGTAGACCTGGTGCATGGGGTGGTTGCTGGCGCTGTTGCGAGACGGCGACGAGCTGCCGAGCGGGCTCGCCGTCGCCACGCCGCGGGGCGACACGGACGACTTGGGCGCGCCGTTCCCGGTGACGGAGAGACCGCAAGCGGGATTGGCCGCGGCTTTCTGCTGCTGGATCTGGTTCAAAATCGGCGACTCCGAGCCGGCCCGGCGGCTGAGCTGCGTCGCTTGGCTCCGTGCTTGCGTCGTTAAAGCCTGCAGCTGCTGCGATTCCTGCGGTCTCTGCTGACCCGGGTGACCCAGTCGTGGTGGCTCTTGGTTCCTCGACTGGATCGATTGCTGGGCGTCTGGCCAGCCGCTGGAGACGACCTCAAGGTCCGAGTGAGCTTGATGCTTGTGTCGAACGACTGGAGTCCGTTGCTCCTGTTGCTTCGGCTGCGTCGGCGACAGCTGCGTCCCGGCTGCCAGCTGATCCTGCGCTGACGACGATATCTGGCCGATCGTCGTCGTGGGGTTCGTCTGCTGCACGTTGTTGTTGATCGGCTTCTCGCCCATCAGCCAGTAAGTGGTCATGGTGCCTTTACCCTGCGGACGTCGGCAAAGCGACCAGTTATACACATCGAGTCGCGAGCGCGAGCGGAGTCGCGTGAGTCGCGCTAACGAATAATTAAAGCCGTCATGCGATGCGCGTGTATAATCGCGAGGATTTCATCGACACCGCCCGCTGCCGCCGCCGGTAAAATCCGCTGCAACACGGACGGGACTTTTGTATCGTCCCGTTGCACGACACGATATCGCCGTACTCGCGCGCGCGCGTGTCACGCTCCTGAATATTCAAATCAGCGACGGCGTGTATGTCGGCCAGCGGTACGGAGCTCTGAATTTTAATCCCGTCCGGCGAGTTTGACGGTACGTACACACGCGAATCGCCGGTCGAATTTCTGTCCCGCCGGTGCTATCTTACTAATTAACTGCATAGCATTGCGAGCGACCGGACCGGCCCGCGCGCTCGCGCTCGCGACCGCTGAACTTTGACCCAAATTGCTCACGCTAAACGATTCGATCGCGCTTCCGTCCATCACGACGCTTGGCCGGGCGCATTCCCGATCGGCCTAATGACGATCTAATCTTGGCCCGATTCGAATCGCGCGTAATCGGATGCCACAAGCCTCTCGCGCGACTAACGCCCATAGTTATCGGCTATCGAGCGCAGCCGGCCTCTTATCGTCGCGTCGTCGTCGAGCGGCTTTCATTTCGACGGGCCGGAAATAAAGGGAGAAAAAAAAAGAGAGAGAGAGAGAGAGAGGCGGAGACAAAGAGTCGCCGCTAGATTAAACGCGAATTGCTCTCCTTTGGGAGAACGGAAACGCGTCGTACAACCTGGGGACAATGCAACGTCGCGAAGCGATACGTGTGTATTAAGCGAGCTTCACCGGCAGCGTAACGCTTATAGTTACTGCAGCGCGCGACATGACACTTCCAAATACGTCGGATACACGCGAGAGATGAGCTTATGGAAACTCGCCGACACAATGCAATCGCGGGATCTACCTGCGCGGTAATTGTAAGCGCAATTGCCGAAGTTGGCAAAACCATGTCGCGCGAGAGAACACCAACGCCAACGTTACGTGCTCCGGGGGGAAACTGCGGAGTCAAATCTCACTGAACGACAGTCGATGATAAAAAGAAACATAGCAACAGAATGAAATTCGCGCTGAGGAGATCAACAGGACGCCGTGAGAGCAGATTGATATTGATAAAAATGTAAGATCGATCAAAGGAGCCGCGCCGCTAACGATCGCGTCGCGATTACCCGGCGAAAGAAACGTCGAAATTGAATGAAAAAGAATTTGGCAAATATATAGAAAAAGATACACCTCACCGATTTTTTTTATTTTGAAATATGTTATGAAGGATGAAATTCTGAGTGACTTCTCCCAAGACAATTATATGGGGGTCGCTTATAGTTTCTGAGATATTTGACTTTAAAGTTTTATAATTGTACGTTAAAGTATATTTGAAGTAGACAAGCAGTTTTCATTCACTTTAAATATAGGAAACAATATAAGCGCACCCCCTCCCCAAACAAATCCTAGCCTAACCTAACTTATTGCATCTTTATATATTTGTGGACATTGTTGAAAAAAGTTCTCTTAAGATCCATCACCTGGCTCAACTTAATTTATTATAACATCTGCACATAATTAGGTGTTGTGGCTTTTCAGGAGATCTTTTCAGCATAGCCCAGCAATATATAAAGATAAGTTAGGTTAGATTAGGATTTTTTTGGGGAAGGATTGCGGGGGAGTGGCGAAGCTTCTCTCCCGCTTATATGTACTGTTTCCTATATTTCTATGTATACACTATGTTTGGATTAACTGTTTGGATTGTACTGCAAATAACATCAGCTTATGATATCTAGAATTTAATTCCAGGATAATCAAAATTCCAAAACTTTAAAGTCAAATATCTCGGAGACTATAAGCGATCCTCACATAGTTGTATTGGGAAAAGTCACTCGGAATTTCATCCTTTATAACATATTTCAAAGTAAGGTGTAACCCCTTTCTATAATATATATTTACCAAGAATTTCTCATGTTGAGTCTCCAACGCTCGGTGAGAAAATCGACCGGATTTAAATCGTAAAGACGCGTCCCATCGCAATGCGAGAATGCTGATCAATTAAAGAAGCGCTGCGAACGATCGCGTTTAACGTGGGAGGCGTAACTCGAGCGATCGCGAAGCGACAGCGACGAGCCGCTTCGGTTATATAAGTTCCCGTCGTCGTCGTCGTCGTCGTCGTCGTCGTCGCCGTCGTCGTCGTCGTCGTCGTCGTCGTCGTCGTCGTCGTCGTCGTCGTCGTCGTCGTCGTCATCGTCGTCGTCGTCGTCGTCGTCGTCGTCGTCATCGTCGTCGTCGTCGTCGTCGTCGTCGTCGTCGTCGTCATCGTCGTCGTCGTCGTCGTCGTCATCGTCGTCATCGTCGTCGTCGTCGTCGTCGTCGTCGTCGTCGTCGTCGTCGTTGTCGTCGTCATAACCATCACGGCGCCGGCAACGCAGCGGAATATAAAGGTCGCGTGTGAGCTCGGAAATAGCAGCTGTTTTCTCGGAGAAGAGACACGTGCAGCCGGAAAACAATTGGTGCTGCATGTATCGCGAGATCGAACGGCCAGGATCATAACCGGGAAACCAGCGCTAGCGCGCGCGCGCGTAATGATCAGCCGGACGTCCTTCTTGCCGCCGCGAAATGCCAATCAGGGTGAACGAGAACCACCCTTCCGTCGCCACCGCCTCCTCGTCACTCGTCGTGACGTCTGTCGCGCACGGACGCGCGCGCACGCGAGGGAGAAAGAGAGAGCGGAGGGCAGCGACGGACGGACCCATTGAAGCGTCGCTCGATGCCAATTTCTACAACGACTATCATACGCGACAACCTCATGTTCGTCGTCATGACATTCGCGTCTTCGAGCGGCGGAGAGCGACAGAGCGAGGTGAGCGAATTCGACACGCGAGACGTCACCATATTCCGAGAACTTACCTTGAGCGTGACCTCTCCCCTGCACACGAGATCGAACGTGCCGAAAGTGTCCAAGATCTCCTTCGTCTTCGGGCTGACGTGGATCATTAATGCTGTCGCAACAAAGAAACAGGGGAAAACGAGTTTTTTTACGCACGATCCGTGAACCCTCTTACAGCAGTAAACGAGCCGTTTCTTTGATATTATTAGGACAAATGTCACTAGGGAGGGATGGCCAGCGATGAGCAACAGCCGCTTCGTTTCATGAGGGTGTTATTTTCGCCGAGTACTCTGAGCATGTACTCTCTCAGCGGCGGAAATGGGAGGAAGAGGAGGAGGAGGAGGAGGAGGAGGAGGAGGAGGAAGAGGAGGAGGAAGAGGAGGAGGAGGAGAAGCGCGCGCGCAACGGCAGTCACCGGCCCTCGGAAATCGCCACGTGAATTTAGAACTGGGGCACAACGACATCGAAGAAACAACGTTACGCAGCTTGAATTCAGGAGACACCTCGACACTTTTCCAGGGAGAAAGGATATCGCGCTTGTACGCTAGTTTTACCGCGCGGGCCGTCTCTATTATTGAAACGTGACACTTGACGGCGCGCGGCAGACGTGGAAAAAGGGAAGAAAAGAGAGAAAAGGAGAAACGTAATTTGGTCGCGAGTGAAATGTGCGCGCGGGCGAGGCAGCTTCCGCAAAGCGCGCGACGTGCGACGTAAATAAACATCCCTTGGTTCTACCGCTTTCGGTGGCACTTCGGTGCGCTACTTTGTAGCAGATTTATCAAACGCACGCGTGAGCACGCACTACGACGACACGAGTATTCGCGCGTCTCTCTGATAGCGACTCTCTGAGTGCGATCGTTTCGCCGGTCGTCCTCCGTGTTACGAGCGCACGTGCGGCCGCGGAAACGCGCGCTCGTCCCGCTTTTACAATCCGCGGTCAGACTTTCCCGCCGATGCTTAGCAAGTAGCGTAACTCTCGTCGTTTGCAGAGTTAAACACGCCGCTTCTCCCGCTCTCCCGCGAAGAGCGGAGGTAGAGATGCGAGTAGAGATTGCGATTTTACGCGCACGTCGCAGGCGCTGCGATTAACTCCTCCTGAATCTCAATGAGCTGTGCAGTTGGATTTTCGTCCGCGCGAAACCGCACTGGCGAACGCAGAGAAAGTCGCGTGCAACTTGAAACGACGTACGATTGAAAATCAAGTTGGCGGTGTGGAATTGCGCGCGCGATTCGAAATCTGCGGTAGAAAATCACGAGATACGCGGTATTTTCCCGCATTCACCGCGCATTACCATAAATCGCGAAGACAGTCGCGGGGAATAACGGAGCGCTCTTTTTCGCGATCAAGCCACTTGCCGACGCGCCGCCAACGCGCAGCCAACGCACGAGGCGGCAGGCCCGGTGGTTTCGTCATTCCACATTTTTCCCATCATTCTCTTACCCTCCGAAGGGTAACGCACGTTTCGCATTGGAATAAACATCATTGGCGCGGCTCTATGCAGATAGAGGCCAAAGCGGCCAAAACGCGCCGCGTGCATGCGCATTCCCGCGCGGGGGGGGACGCGCTCGTCGAAAATTTCAAGCGAGTGGCGGCAAGGAAGCTGCGGTTTCGCAATGCGCAGCAGACAAATGACGCAGCGGGCGCACCGCACACGTTCTCCCCCAGGTAGCAAGCTCAGCGCGCGTCCCCCCCCCTTGATTACGAATTTACTTTTCGCGCTCGCGCGATATATAATTCACGTGAGCGACCGAGCGAAGCCCAGCGGGGACTTCGCTCTGTCGAACGGCGGAGCCGAAGCCCGTTATTCTACGGCTCTCATTAATTCTGCGCGGCCCGACGTGACCTTTATAGAAGTAGCCCGGCTACTCTCGATTTATTCTCACGCAAACGGGCTACGTCAAGGCGAGACGCGAGAAGGACTGTCGGCAAATTTAAAGCCCTTTGACACGTGAACCTCGCGCCACCTGACTACCAATTAACCCGCCGTTGTCAACGTTGGAAGTACGCGTGTCTGACACGGATCTAACCGGCATCAAGCAAGGAGCGCAAGCGATGAGCCTTTTGCGATCCCTTTTGCGCCTGTGAGCTGACCGTCGAGCAAGATCTCGCCGCAATCTCAACAGCGAGCTCGTCTCGCGACAACCTTGGCAGAGACAAAGGGAAAGAAAAAGCGAACTTCTCGCGAAAATCCCCAGACGCGAGGATCTATTGGACGGTGCACGGTGCGATGAAAGAAGAGAAGAGAGAGGCAGGGGGAAAGAGAGAGAGAGAGAGAGAGAGAGAGAGAGAGAAAGAAAAAATGTATAAATCGACCTATGAGCCGATCGCCCCACCTAACTAAACACGAATAAATCGCGCCATCACATCGTTTCGCGAGCTAGTCCCCTGGGGAAACTTTTAATGGAATTTAAAGCGATAATAAAGTTACTCATACCGAGATCGGAACTTCCGTCGTCGGCAACTGGGCGCACAAGTTCGATTACGGCCGGCGGCCAGAGCGAGCGATCGCGGATATGCTAATTCGATATATACGTAATTTTCGTATGATCCTCTCCTATTTCTGGAGCTACCTGATTGCGTTTCCTATAGGAAAAGAGAGAGAGAGAGAGAGAGAGAGAGAGAGAGAAAGGGAGAGAGGTATAGAAAGATACTGCGGGAACGAGTAGCTGCGCTACTCGCGACGATCGATATAACGAGGGCCAGTCTTTACGTTGTAAATCAATTACATAATTCCATCGGGACGGGATTAATTACGCAGTGTAATGCGCCAATAATATCGCGCTACATACATTTTCCGCGCTGCGAATGAATGGCACGGTTAATTGATCAAGTACGCGCATCCCGCGTAGTGGATCAATTAAGCAATATACTAGGCCAATTATTTCGCATATAAAATATATTCTCCCCATTATGTCAACAGGAGGGCAATCGACCAGGCGCGCGCGCACGTGAGCACCATTCTTAAGAGGACTGGAGGGTCAGATTGCTGAAAAATCGTGCTTGTTTTTGACAATATTTTACGATGAACTGAATAAATGTGCAAGAATGAAAATTTTAGCTATATTTATACAACATGTGAAGAATAGAAAAATTTTGTTTATTAACAAATACTCATATAAATATACGATATATATATATATAGCTGAAATATGCTCTTCTTTTTTTTTCAAGTTGTCGTTCTTGCAGTAATATCTCGGCTCTCGGTGGTCCGATCAGAGCGAATTTTAGCTAGAAATCTTAAGGAGGCTTGTCATTATCCGGTGAAGTACTATAAAAAAAATCGAACAAAATTAACAAAATGGCAGCTATTATTAGGAAAAAATTCAAATTTTTCACTTCTTTTGCAATAAAAGAATTAATATCTCGAAATGAAATATTTTGACGGAGTTGTTCATGGTTCACCTGACAGCCAGATGAACAAATATAATTGCTTTAAAATTTCAAATCGATACGCAGCTTAGTTTCGGAGAAATCACTGCAAAAAGTTGAACGATAACATTTCGAGAGAAACGCGTTTAAAATTTAAGTGGATGTATATTTATATGAATATTTGTTAATAAACAAAATTTTTCTACTTTTTTTCATATGTTATGTAAATATATTTCATATGTTATTTCATATGTTATGTAAATATATGAAAAATTTTCATTCTTGCACATTTATTCAGTTCGTCAGAAAATATTATCAAAAAACAAGCACGATTTTTCAGCAATCTAACCCTCCAGTCCCCTTAAATAATCGAGCCGCCGCGGTGCTTGGCTCTCCGCTTCATTCAATCGTAAACATTGCCGATGTCAACGGAACATGTAGAACGCTGCAGGCTTTATAAACAGAAGTACCGTGCCGCGTGTAACGCGCTCAGTTTTTCCGCGACCGGATGTTTAATCCGCGGTAACGTTGTTATGATGATGATCCCCTGCGTCGCGACGAAAACACGTGCGCTACGTGATCGAACGCGCGGCGCCCGGGCGAGTCGGGCGGTTCGAAAGATCCGCGTGCAAATCCATAACGCGCCCGCTATAAACCCGCTCCGCCGCGCCGGCCGCGACGACGGCCACGTAGGGCCACTCGATAAACAGCCGTGTGGCGCCTTGCGTCGCGTCCTTGCCTCCACATCTGGATCCTTGGCGAGGGAAAAGCAACCACCCAGCCGCCCACGCGGTCACTCGTCGAACGCACACAGAGTCGCGACTCGTGCGACTCCCGTAAGCGCGCCAATAAATGCGAGAGCGAGCGAGCGAGCGAGCGCTAAATTACACGCGTGTCGCGTTCCGAGACGAGCGGCGCTCGTATAATCATCCGAAAGCCGGCGTTTTCGTCGGCTCGCAGTTTCCTCCGCCCGCTCGCTCGCTCGCTCGGCGGACGCTTTTTCGTCTCCCGATTGGAAATGGTCACGGACACGGGCGGTGAGAGCACGTGTCTAATTTCCCGGGCTGTCGGCGGCGAAAGTGAGACACATCGATCGGCGAGCGTCCACACTGGATCGCGAGGGCGCGCGATCGATGGCCCTTGCGGGAAACGAGCTAACCGCGATTACGTCTTCGTGGGGAAACATTCGAAACAGGGTCGAGTCCCTCTTAAGCGACTTAAGCGATCGACCTTGCCCTTGCCCGCGCCGCACCTTTTCCTCTCTCCCCTTTAATTAACGCGCCCGTCCTATAAGCTCCCGCGCGCGCGCGCGCGCGCGTGTCTTCCCCCTTTCCGCGTCGCCGTCGTAATACGACGACGTTCCCGCCCGCCGGGAGAGTCGTGACGTTGCTGTTAATTACCTTCTCCATTACTCTCCATTCTGGAGGCTGTGTTGACGGTGTCGCCGAACAGGCAGTATCTGGGCATCTTGAGGCCTACGACGCCGGCCACGCACGGTCCTGCAAGCAGCACAGGCGAGCGCATAGCCGCCGTTAATCGCTCGCGAACGACGTCTCCGGGTCTTAGGAGAAGCTATTAATTTCATCGATTGCGGCTAAGCGGTGGCCTCACGAGACGCGGCAGCGCCTCTTCTCGCAAGAGCGCGGGCGTAATCCAAGCTCCACGTGATCTGAAAGGACGTCGCTTCGGCAACGCGGAGCCGGGAAAAATTGCGGCGAGAAATGAAAACAGACCACCGAGATAGCGTCCACAAGTTCCCGTCACGTGAATGACCCGAGGGTGACTCGCGAGGGTCAGCACGCCCATGAATTTATTCGCGCGAGAAAGATTAATGAGCGCGGCCGGAGAGCGAAGGGAACGGAACAATGGCGTTGTTAATCGGCAGGCGTAGACCGTTTATTCTTTCATAACGATATGCGGCTTCTGCTTTCCCGACGCTCCGATTTCCAACCAGTTCGATGCCCCCCTGCGGCGGCATCGATCCGAATCGGCGCTCCCACGGTGACGAATTCCCACAGCGCGGCGGACAGGAAAGATTGTCCACGCCAAGTCGTTCCGAGGCGCTTTAATGATCTGATTTAATTCTCCTTCGTCGCGCGCCGCGCTGCCGCTGCCGCTGTCGCGACGGTATTAATCTGATACTCGTGCTCCCGACCTTCGCGAGTGCGAGCGGCCGTAAAATCGATCCGTAACGCGGCGTAAAGTGGACTCGATTTATACGAAGGTCCCGCGAAGCGCCGAATAAAGCGCAGGAATTCTTCCTGCCGGGAGAGCCAGGTGTTTCTCACGAAATGGCCGATATCTCACGATATTTCACCCACGCCATTTGTCTCGAGAGTCTCGAGAGAAGAGAGTCACGTTAGGACCCTTCTTCGCGCTCTCGCGACCGCGGAAAATGCCGCGATGGAACGCGTCGACTCACCGGAGTGCATGCCGATCCGTAGCTTCAGTTGCTCCTTCGGTCTGTGGCGAATGCTGAACGTCATTACCGTATCCCTGAGAGCTAAGCTCATCCTCGCGATCTCTCTGGCGTGATTCATGCCGTTCCTCACTGGTAATCCCGACACGACCATATAGGCATCCCCTATCGTCTCCACCTGCAAGAGAATCGAGAAAAACTGCGCGTCTCGACATGTTCTCGATAAAAGAAGCTAATATGATGGAAGAAGGAAAAGAGGGTGCGGGATGAGAGAGAGAGAGAGAGAGAGAGAGAGAGAGGGGCTGAAGAATAATGCGAAAACGTGTCCGCGTTAAATTTATTTATCGTCGTTCGTCGTGTGCCCCATTTGGATTAAGTAGATTAGTTACGGGGAAAAAGGTGTCGGCCACAGAGGAAAGTCCGCGGAGAAGCGACGCCTATATACGTTTAGCAAGGACGCTAGGACCTCAAAAAGTTCGTAACACTGAAGTGGAGTAAACGGATTACGTGACATAGTCAACGTAGAACGGACACGAGCGAAAATACGACGGAGGCGATAAACGAGTGCCGTCGTGTTTCTCGAGGCTTTACCTCGGGGAGAGGGTTCTACTAATTAATGTCAATACAACTATAGAACAGTAACGAACATTTTTCGACGATTGGTCAGGCGTGCAATGCCAGCAGAACGTTAATTTCATTTTCCGACGGGGAAAAAAATCTCTAAATTCGCGAATGCATCGATGGGTGAATTGAGCGTTACTTGGTAGACTGAAGTAGAAAAATTAACGGAAACGTATTTATAAATAGTGAGCGAAAGTTTACGCTCGGTTCCGGTATTCAGTGCTCCAACAAGTGAATACAGAGAGGAGAAGAAATTTGCGCGGATGAAAGGAGCAAGGAAGAAAGGTGGGTTTAATTCGTAATTGGAGGTAATTAATGGAATCCAGCGGAACTCAAACTGTGCTTTCTCAGAGCTTGAAGTGTGTAATTATGATGATGAAACAGCTACCGTGCTAGATTGAGGAGTTGCGTTTAATGAAAGTAAAATTTCCGAAATTAATTTCCGGGATTGCCGCTTTGATGATTGTCGTTCCTACTAAGAATGTTTGTTCTATCGTACATTTATCAACTGCCGAGTTTTATTACTACACGGAGAAGATATTGTGGTAAAAATTATTCCACAACATTTTCGTAATCTTGTACTGTATAGAAATATCATCGCAGGTTACTATATATTATTTGTTTAAAAATATCATTTAAGCGTGTACATTGACCTTTTACCACACAATATTGTAATCTCTAAAACATTTCATTGGCCTTGGTTTTTTTTGTTGTTTACTATTTTGCCATTTTACTCTAATTAATTTATATCGCAATATCGGTTCAGTTTTATAAAAATATTGTAAAAAGAATGTATTATGGCTGAGCACAAAAGCTTCGATGGATTTCGTGATAGAGAAATGTATGAACTAAGCAATTTTATTAAAAACGATTTGTTTGTTCTACCAAGTAATCGCCATTGTTCTCTTTGTATCTTTGGTAAAATTATACATCTCTATACATATTTGTGAGTGCAGCTGCAAAGCTGGATCAATCACATCTTTAACCCTCTCGCGGTTCTATTTACTGGCAGAAATTAGTATCAAAATAGTTAAATTCTTTCTGTGGAGGAAAATATTTACTTTCATGTTTTATAATATAATTTCGAATGCGCTAATTTCAAATTTGAGGTTGTTGTTGCAAAATTCAAAATAGCGGATCAAAAATGGCGGACCTGAAAGTAATAAATCTTACCCCGAGTCAGACTCGGGTCTAACCGTAAGCCGGTTAACAAACTCATCGAAACTTTTGCACTTAGCCAATAATACAAACGTAATTTTCACTATAATATTTTGACAATATTTTCTCCGTGTCGGCGACGATTTTACATATTCACGAGTTTGAGCGTCGCACACGATCCTCGTGTTTTATCGAGATAATCTTTCGCAGGCGTGTTAGCAGCGCGTGAGGATAGCGCAGTAAAAAAATCCAGACCCACGCGCGCGCCGGTAGTCGCGTATTTTTCGCGGAAAATCTTCCAAGAAATCAACAGCTATTTGTCCCCACAAAATTACCATTGCTTTCCTCGCTCCCTCCTGTATCTCATGTCGACCTTAACAGCTCGGAAATCTTAGCGATTGGCTACCTCAAGTGACGCCACGTGCAGATCTCGTAAATATAGAATCAGATCCCGGGATCTTGGCTCAATGAGAAATACGGTGTGTTGGCTGAGCGATACGTTATCCAGGAGGATCGTTTAGCCTGAAGCTCGAGGCTGGAAAATCGTGAGAGAAGAGCAACCGGAGAATAGGGGAGACTGAGAAAGAGACGGAGTACAGGAGGACGAGGATAGGTGAGACGTGCAAAGTTTCCTGATTGAACAAGCCGTTCGCGAGAGGGGAAACTTCACTCTCCGGTGTGCGCGAGAGAGCGGCAGGAGCGGGACAAAGCGCTCTCTCGTCGTTTCGACGAGGCCGCGCGCCGCCGGAAGAAGCCGCGCGATATTGCGACAGTGTGACGTCATCGCACGCGTTATGACACTTTGTTCCGCCTGTGATACCCACTGCGAAAGTTCATCGCTGTGGCCCGAAGCACATCTCGCCGAGTGACCTTATTACGCGTAAAATATGCATCTCCTGTACCGGCAGCCGTGTCATTTCCATATCGCAGCCCTCGGACCGAAACGCCGAACGCTTAAAAGCGGGTCAATACTCACTTTGTAAACGTCGAAGTTCTCGATGATGGAGTCGAAGCACGTGTAGAGATCATTGAGCAGATCGACCACCTGCAGCGGCGTGCTCTGGGCTGACAGGCTCGTGAAACCGACGATGTCGCTGAAGTAGATTGTCACCTGGTCGTACGTCTCGGCGATTACGCTTTGTCCGAGAATCAGCTGGGACGCCACTGATCTGTTCGCAGGACAAATGAGTGTCTTTCATGTACAGCCGTCGAAGCGGACGCAGCGAGATGACGGAAACGAGATCGTCGTCTCGATGGAGATCGTTTCTCGGCAGCATTGTCCACTTTGAATCGTCGCACGACCACGAGTGCTTTCGCAGAGAGGCTATTTTTTCCTCGAATCAAAGGCCGGGTGAAAGCGCATCGCTCCCCCCCCCTCTCTCTCTCTCTCTCTCTCTCTCTCTCTCTCTCTCGACGACCCGCGACTCGCGAAGACGTGACGCAACGTGACATCGATTAAATGTCAAACCCCTCGGGGTTTGTTAGCTACGTCACTAATACTTGACAGAGAAAAGCCGAGCGCGCGAGGATCAAGTTTTTTTGCGGCACTCGACGAAATTTCTCCGCTTCGCGCTCGCCTCCTTTCCACTCTCGTGCAACTCATTAAGCTTAGCGTGTTTGCTTCGCTCGCGAGCTGCAGTTAGGCCGAGACTTTTAACCGCGCACAGCAATTCCGACACGGGGCAGTTTCGTTGAAACGGGAATCTTCGGCCATACTGCTCCTCCGAGGGTGTTTCGGTTGCGATGTCACGTTGCCGATTGATCGCCGCTGGTCGGCGCAAAAATTCATCAATATTCCCGCCGCTGATCCGCGAAATCAGCGTCGCTGAGCATACGTAATATTCCCGAGCGTTCAGCAAATATTCTGATTGCTTTATTATCCTGTACAACAACCCCCCCTCTCGCTGCGAGATAATTATGCCAATGAGAGACGGACGACACGTGCGTGAGCGTCGAGCCGCTCTCTCGGATCGGCGAAATTATTCCGGGCCATCTTACGTAGCCTCGCGCGCGTCTCCGCGCCAGCTCCTCGACGTAAATTTAAAAAAAATGTCACACTTTTTCGTATAATTATATCGTACTTTCGCGGATTATATTTCCCGATGGCGCCCCCGGGAAATTGTCTCGCCAGCCTGCCACCTCTCGCTCCTCGGCTCTTTCGTTTTCCACGCGAACGTGTGCCGAGCCTCGATTCGTCTCTGCCTCTTTCTTCCCCATCCTCTCATCTCCCTCCCCACCCCCCCATTCTTCTCGGATCAATTTCAATTTTAAGGTTGACCAACCCTCGATAAGCTTCCGTGCGATCGCGCCCCGCTGCGCGAACAAATTGACACGAGAGATCCACCGACTCATTTCCATTTCCATATCACGCCGTATTCGATTTCGCGATGCCTGCAACACGACGAGAACCTACCGGCCGTTAATTCACGCCATTTATCGCCGTGCGTTTTTGCTCCTTTGCGTGCGAGGGCCGTTTGATAGCGCGATTATTACCGTTTTCATTTGCGTTAATTAGCGGTCTTAATGCTCGCGCAGCGACCGGGAGATACACGTGCGCGCACATTTATGCGCGATCGATTTACATCCGGCATTAGATTAACAAATACCCGCCGGCGGAATATGATAGGCGATTTTCCGCGTGAGAAAAATTCACAGATAATTTCGAAACGTTCGGACGTGCGCTCGCGCGCGTATGTGTCTGTGTGTGTGTGTGTGTGTGTGTGTGTGTGTGTTATGAGAGAGAAAGAGAGGCGCGATAAAAGATGCAAAACGTACGATAAATGTCGAGCATTGAAATAAATCGAATCTCGGGCATCTCGTACGTGGGATTTGCTCGAAACGACCGGGTAATACGGCCTGTTTAAATATTTACCGGTTCTCTCTCGAAACAGACACGAAAGGCATTCGAGGGAACTCTCCGCGAGACCTTGCGACTAATGGAACGACGATCTCGTTCGGAGGACTCAACTTTATTCGCGTTCCGCAGAACTTACTTGGGCAGCAACTGGTAAAGCAGCTCCTCGCATTTACGTTTCTCTTCGAGGTAGTCCGCCGTGCGTTCCTCCACCAGCGTTTCTAAATTCGTGGCGTACTGCTCCATGCGGGACAGCAAATTGTCGAGAATATTGCTGCTCGCGTCTCTGAAAGAAACGAAAACGCACTCGATGTCAGTGGTTACTCGAGCGGAGGAGAGCGGGAGAGTATATCGAGTTGTTCGATCGAATGAATGAGGATGCAGAAGGCGGGGGAGGAGGGGAGGATTGGCACTTTGATGTAAATCGCAATCGGAGGTGCCAATTAGAACCGAAGCGCATTGCATTCTCCGATGAGGCTGGTCCAATCTGGATTGACTGAGCCTCGGCATTCCTCGGCGACACAGGCTCGTCGAGTTTCCGCGCATTTATATTTCGCCTCCAGCGCCTGGGCATTCTCCGATTAATAATAAAACAAAATATTAAATAGAACGCGGCGGCGCGCGATCGAATATCGATATCCAGATATTAATCGCGCGCAACGCGCGGAAGAATTCTTCGATTTAATCTGCAGCACGACCTATATACAGAGTGTCCGCAAAAGTCGGGGCCAAACTGATGCAACGTGCTAATGAAGTAGAGTACATGAAGAAGCACGAATAAACTGATGTCCGCAAAGTTGCTTTATCGAAAAGTTATAAACGTTTGAATATTTCTAAGCAGAATTGTGTTCTCTATCAGATTTTACGCTTCTTGACTTCTATTTGTGAGGTTATGTGAGACGATTGCTCGAGAATCCGATGAAAGAAATCAGCTTCGGGATTTGGTATTTGGGTCAGCCATTCGAAACGCAATTATCACTATTTCCAGCACAGTAGAAACGTTCGAAGGAGCTCGGCAGTCGATAATTCGACGAGTGAGAAAGTTTATATATTTGTTAAAAGGAAAACCTTCGAACACGTATTGCAACTATCGAAGAAACTGAATATCAAATCCAGATTGGGACGTAGGAATTATACTGAATCGGCTCAATTCCACGACGCGTTGTAACAAGTTACAGTGACAGTTACAGTTACACATAAGTTTATCCGTGCTTCTTTCACTCGACCTCACTCATTAACACATGCTATAAGTGCAGCCTCGACCTTTGTTAGCATCCTGCACATCACCTATCACCCCGGCCACGCACGCAGTAGGCTGCGATGGTCGGATACGCGGGAGGATAAGCCACGATCGAGACAGCCGAGCCTCCGCAAAGACAGTTAATCCAGTCGCCATGATTGTGGCCGGACAAACGTCATATCTACATCACACAGGTTCACGAGAGGATCGATACGCGAGGCCTGTTCACGACCCGCGATAATCAAATCCCGCGAGTGCCGTAATCGAAGCAACCGCTTCGTCTCAAAATGTCATCGAATCCGGCTTCTTCCTCGCGCACGGTTCCCCTGAGATGGTTCGCGAGGAGATTAGTAAGTAAGGGCGCGTTGTGTCTCAACCTATCGTGATTATTTCCTCTCGTACGAAGGGAAATGGAGAAAAACGTGTTTTCGCTTGTACGACGAAGTGCTACCATGTGTCCGAGAGGGAAATGTATTATTATATATCCCCCCCCTCTCAACTTTGTCCCAACTTTGGAGTGATTTAGGTGTTTCAACGCGAGTTTTAATCCCGCGGAGAGAGCGGCGTCTTATTTTGGAAGGAAACTTTGCGTTTCTCAGCGGGATGAAAATTACACTGGGAAAACGCGGCGACGTGTTCTCTGGAAATAATATCTCAACTGCGAAATACGCAGCTTTCGCGCGGGATTAACAGTCGAGTTGCTCTTAAATGCAGCGGTAATTCTCTCTGACGTAAAAAGCATCGCAATATTCGCGAAATCGAATAGACAAAAGGGTGAGGAGAGTCCGCGTACGAAGAGAGACAGCCGCGAGAAGTACGTAAACGAGAATTAAAAAGTATTACGCGAGAAGAGAGGAAGCGAGTCCATCTAGTCTCTGGGACAAGTCCGGTAAGAAACACTAACGAGAAATTGTGGAGACGCATTAAGTAAATGACGGTTGGTAGACAGCGAGATGGTTGCGAGCGTGTCGAACTTGATGAAGCGCGCAATAGCACTTGGAATAATGAATGGAATCGACAGAGATTTTAGCAGGACGTTTTAATGTAAAAAATAGAGGCATATAATGTGTGACAACTAATATTAATGCGCGGAAAAAAAATATATATCGCGACAGTAATCCTCCAGTCTGAAGAGGTCTGAAGGGTATGGTGCAGAGAGAAGCGCGAGGATTGTAATTTAACAGCTCGAGGTTATTTGAAAAGGATTTAGGGATCGACGGAGCGCGATAGCTCGCGCCTTCGCTGCTTCACAGTAATGAAAATAAAAGAGCAAGAATAACTTTTCATCACAGATATATACATCAGTCGCGAATATAAATCTCGGCGATTTAAAGGCATCCGCGATAAAGGATAATTGATCGGTCGAGAATTTTTTTTATCGCATTGCCGATAAAAATACTGACGTCGGCGCGGCGTCAAGAACGACGCGATTACGGGGGGGACGCTGAGATTTCTTCGCCTACTCTCGCGGAAAAATGAACGGAACGGCTTTCGACAGCCGGGGAATCGGGGGAATTCCTCTCGAGTCATCAGGTTAACCTGACACAATAGAACACGCATTCCAAAGTTAATAGGAAGGGACGTGTAAAATATTGACATCGTTTGGGTCGGTGTCAAACGTGAAAGCTAACGGCTTTCCGACCGCATCTCAGCGCGAATTCAAGCGAAAGAAATGTTACAGCGCGACACGCGTCGACCACGCGGTGATTTCCTTCGGAGAAGAATAGTCTGTAAAGCACGGAATCGGAAAGAGATCGAACCGACAAGTATAGCCACTCGTTAAGTTCGTATCTAACGCGTTGTTTACAATCCTCTCGTCGACAATCGGAACATTTCGTCCGGCACTTGGAATATTATTCGTCGTCGTCGCGCGTGTTGACACACATTTTTTCGGATCGCGATTGTCAGTGTCAGTGTCCGCGAATGGAGTGTCTAGAACGCAACGACGACGAAGTCATCCCGGAGTCGGGATCCGACTTCTCAAAGTTTTCTTCTCCAACATCTGGCGAACTCGTAAAGTCAAGAGGAAGGATAAGAGAATATCCCGAGTCGAGAGCCAAGCCCCGGCATTGTGCAACTTGTACAATACATCTCGAGATTTTAATGGCTCCTCAAGTTTGACGTAATTTGCAAGGCTAAGGTAGAGTCGATTCGAAACGTCGATTCTACCTTATCTAACGTTTTGAGGTCCTCCAACGAAGCTTCAAGTTCGCTGAAATCTGTAAGGTCGCAGTGCAGAAGCGAAATTTCGAGCCGAGCAGGCGGTATCGCGTACACGTCAGTTTATACCCATGACACTTTGACATTGAAATTCGTGACGTTTCGAAGCCACTAATACCCGGCCCCGCGGCGTTCTCAGCTGAGTAGCTTGTACAATAATGATCGGGAGACCGAAAGAGAAGAGAGACGCGAGGCGGAGGAGACATCGATCCGTTTTGCAGCACTCGCTGTCGTCGCGCGCGAACTTCCGAACAAATGTACAAATCGACTGTATATCGATGCGGTGCGCCGCGTGCGCCGCGCGCCATTCTCCATTGGAAATTAACGGTTCGTCCAATATCGAGAGATTGAAGTGTTCGGCCCAAAGCGAGGAAAGATCGATCACATTTCTGTGCTTTCGCGGCTTCGTTTAATTTCGGCGGCTTTAACGGAATACGATGGGTACTCCGCGGGGAACTAGAATCAATAAGACCGATTAGTTCGCTAATGATGACAGAGATGATTGTCGCTGCGAATCACGCGGAATCCTAATTGACAATGAGTCCACGACATCAATGAAGCTGTTAAATGTGCGACAGATGTACATCTGTGATATTAAACGTGTACGCCGCGAGGCGAAGAAAATGTTATTTCAACGTGATGAAGTGGGTTCTTTTTCTCTGTCCTCTCTATTTTTCTTCTTACTAGCGGCAAAATATGTCGACTGACAATGACGCAATTAACCAAAGCTATGATCCCTCCAACAACGTACGTTGTTCCTCCTTGTACGTATAATAATAATAATATAATCACGTTGCCGGCGACAATGCGGCACGTATAGCGGTTAATACTTGTGCGGAAGTAAGAACGCTCGTGCATATTCAGCCTGGCTCAACATTTATATCCGTGTGCAAAACGTTGCGACAACTTCATTAATATCATATCATAAAAGTAAGGAGCAGCCAGACGACGAGTCGACAGATTAATTTGCTGAACGTTAATTATTCATGCTGCTGAGTCCGCAGCTAGTGTCTTCGCGTTTAACTTCTCGCAGCGTCGGCAACATCCGGCAATTGCTCGCCGCAAGTTTCCTGGGATCTCGAATAAATTCGCCGAGTTTTCTCAAGCGTTACTCAACGATACCTTCGGAAGCACTGTACACGCCGAACTTTTCTTCCCTTCATTGATGTTATTCCGTTAGTCAGTCGTTCTCAACGAAAGTAATACCGACTGCTTTCAAGGATCTTCTCATTCACTTCGCACGCGGCTTTTGTTGTACCTCGTTCGCGATAAACGGTGCTTTATCAACTGCTTGATCAACAACAACCGTTCGAAAATCAGTTTTTGCTACTGAGAAAACACGTTGAAATTATTTGGAAAATTCAATTATCCAATTAGATGGTTTTATTCCGGAAGGCAAACGCGCGCGCGCGCGCGCGCGGCTCGCGGCGCAAATGTTGCCGTCGCAAACTACGCAGGGCGAATTTTCACGAGCGGATCGATCGAAGAACGAGACAATTCTTTCCCCGTACCCCGTCCGCGTTTCGTGAATAAAATGACAGGCAAATTGCTTCACCGGGTCGTTGTGGCGCGGTCACGTAATTCACCAGGCGGGACATCTCCCGAGAATTATTCCTCCGGTCGAAATGCTCCCCCGGGCTTTATGTTAGTCGAATCTTTTGGATAACTGTAGATTACGCGGCGAAATGTCTTGAATAATGGAACAGCGACGAAGGTAGAAATGATATTTAGAAAACATGGTAAATCGAGAGTACTGTGCGAGTGTGATGTTACGGAATTGATTCGCGCATAGCACAGCCGCCGGGAGATTCTTTCGTAATAACTTA